CTGTTTCCTGTAAACCTAATTCCGGCAATTTTAACAATAGGGAAAGTTCCAACAGTCCCAAGTTGTGGCAAGGAAACTTTTAACGTTTCTCTTTCATAGATTCTGAATTAAAAGAGGTGGGATTCCATACCCTCCTTCCTCCTCTCCAAGACAACGCCCCTGATTCTGACTGTCTTCATCCATTTTTATTTTCTCCGCATCTTTCTTTATTTCTTTGTCCGTATGTTCTCTTTCCTAACAACTTTTCCAGTTAACAACTTTTATTTTATACATCATCAAAGGATAGTTTACTTTGATGATGATCAACTTTATAGAGGCTGTACAATCTAAGTAAGTTCTTTTGGCATTGATTATGTTGAAGCAGCTTGAGTGCAAAGGTATTCTATTGATAGCTATCAATAGAATACCTTAGATACGGTCCTTGTGTCTTTTTCACCAACCAACTACATCTACCTTGCACTTCTCAGGGCATTTGGGCAAAATATTGTTGGAGTCAAGCTCCCTTATAAAGACTGAATTTATGTTTTTTTATTACAGTTTTTGGGTTTCAATATTTTTTAACTCGTAGAGTCACTTTTTAATTTATTAAGAAACAGGCTTTAGAAGTGTGAATGAAATGAATTTACCATGAAAAAAGTAATGGACAAAGATCACTAAGTTTTGTTAGATTACTCATTTAGCCAGAATCCCTTTGCAGAATCGCTTAACCACACTAGTTTCATAAGTTCTTGTCCCCAAATTGTGACAATTGTTGTTTTATGTTTAATAGGTGGTCTGTACAAAGTATCAAAGACCAAAATTACCAGACAACAAGACAAAGTTTGTATTAACAAAATTTAATTCCAATATATCCGATATTATACTGCTTTAAAATACAACATTGAATTAAATTAAAATAATTCACTTCGCTTACTTAAAATATAATTTTCTACCAACGTTGATTTATTGTTGCTGGAAACGACACATTTGTAACCAAAATGATATAATGACAAAGTTGGTCACCGATGTTGTGCTAACTCAATTCATAAATTGCTTTTACGTTTTGTCAACAAATGTGAGCTAGCTGTGTAGTAGAAGTGTAAAATAAGGAAAGTATTAAAAAGAGGACATCGGATAAATTGTGTTCACAGCTCGTCGTAGACAATCTCTTTTATTTGAGAGCAAGTCAAACTCGTTTCCGACAATGCCATTGTATCTCTGACATTGACCATCATCCCGAAGATTATAATAGAGGAAAGGTGGAGGGATCCAAAATTAACTTTTTTTGGGTTTTGTGCAGTTAAATCACTTTTTCTAAATTAATTTTTTATGCTGATTTTAAATTATTTTTTTATAATTTTTTTTTCATTATAAATATTTAGCTTTCTTCTTCTGTTTCATTAAAAGTGATTACTTTGATAAATAATTAATTGTTAAATTAAATAAAATCATTATTATTATCAAAATAAAATCCATGTTTTTCTTTTCATTTTATCAATAAAATACGTAATCATTACGTGTAGTTATAAATAGAACAAAAAAGTAGGCACTATACAAGAAATTAGTTCATATAAGGAACAATTTGTAACAATTACTAGTATAAATGCAAAATAACTACACATATGAAGTTATTTTGCGTTTTAATATGCATAGTAGCTGTAGTTCAGTGATTGTAGTTTTTTTTCAGAACCAAGAGGTCTAAGGTTCGATGTCGGCTCTGACTAGATAAGGGTATATTGGTAAGGAAGGAAATGTGAACTTCCTAGGCAAATTGCTCCTCCACTGTGCTTTGTGTAAGACACTAAGTTCTTCTTGGAGCACCTTAAAAAATGTTAAAAAAAGTCATTATAGCTGATTTTGGATTTTTTAGGTAGAAATTATTAACTTATTCTTCTGTAGACAAAGGATGCAGCTTTTTTGTATTTTTATTAACATTTATGATTTTAAATAAAGCGGATCTTCGCTGCAATGATCTACTATATTATCAAAATAAACATCCCATTTTTCAATTGATTTTTGTATTTAACAGATCTTTCTCTTTTTCAATATATTTATTGACATCTGATTTGTAAGTGTATGGGCTGTCTTGTAATTTTAAACAAGCTAAGTCTTTATATATAATTTCTTCTGGACGCTAACAGTTCTTTCTTGTTAACTTTTTATCAGTTATTTCTGTCACTAGTTCCGACTGATTTTTAGAATTTTTTATATTTTTAGAATTTTTTAACAATGAGACTCATTTCCTGAAATATTTTAAAATTATCTGAATCTTGATATCACAATGTTTAGGTTATTTAAGTATATTATCAGGAGGATTTTTTGTAATCAACGGTATTTCCGAAGCCGATTGCAATAAGTGCCACGCTGACGCTTTAGTTCAATGTTATTTGTTATTGTTTTAAAAATTGCAAAAACCAGATTAAAAATGTAATACATCAGTTATACAATTATTGTATCTTTTTCTAAATCCATAATATTCTGTTGAAACTAAATTTTGATAGTTTAATTTAAAAAAAAACTGATAGCTAAATTTTGCAAAACTATATTTGCAAGAATGATACAACCATATTTATATATGATGCATATATACAAACTACTTCGACTACTGAGCAGTCAATGTTATTTAATGAAAGTTTCTAAAATATAATTTATTGTCAACTTTATTAAAAACAAGTATAAAAGCAATCTTGAGTAAAGGCAACTTTGTAGAATAAAATTCGTCGATTTCTAAAGACGTTTATTAATTTTGATTTATTTGTTTACTAGTTTATGATTTATTTATTTAATAGTTTGTTACTTCTTGTTGCAATATATTTCAATTATAATTACTTAAATTTGAAAAAAAAATTATTTCCTAATATAAAAAATTCCAGTTAAAACTCAGGTTATACCAACGCGACAAACTACGTTTGTATTTGTTTTTAAAACATGTTTATCGCGTAACTTGGAACGCGATAAACATGTTTTATACTTTTACTTATAGTTTAAAATATTTAATAATGTGTAATTAGTTTTTTAATTGCTAAACAATATTTGTATTGTGCTTGCTGTAATGTTCCTTAAGGACTAAAACAGTTTAGTGCAGTTAGTTCTGAACAAAATGTTGATAGTTTAAATAAAATCCGAAAGAAGGTATTGGATTTGATAAAGAAAAGTAATAAAATCTGTAAGAAATGCAAAAACGCTTCACAACGAAATAAAAAAATAAATAAAAACAATAATAAAAAAGAATCTATAATCAATAATTCAACTAAATCCAGGAATCCCGATAATGCATTTTCATTTCTAGTAAACAATTTATCAGTATTTTCAGCTGAATGTGTAATAGATAATAAAGAGAACTCTACAGTTTCAAATACACAAGTTGTATTAAAAGAAACAACTAACAAAAAATGCTATCCTGATGATGAACCAATACTTGTAGATTCTTTTCGTACTCTTTTGTCTCACAAAAAGTGTTTTGTTTGTGGAAAGAAAAACTTATACAGAAGATGAGAAAGTTAAAAAATAGAAAGAAAAAAATTGATTCCACCTGGTTCGAGGTGTTGCAGCATTCATCTTTGTCAATCGTCAACTCTATTATCTAAAACAAAGTATGAAGATGTTATCAATTAATAAAGCTAATATAAAACTCAAAAAAAAGAGGTTAAAAATCTTTTCAAAACAATTTGTAATTTTGTACTTCTAAATTCGCTTTCTTACCATTTCATGGATAAAAAAAACTTTGATCGAGTATAAATGTCTCAGAATAACTGGATTTACAAGAGAACAATTTATTGAAATAAGCGAATCACTTGATTCAACGAGAAATTTAATCCTGCGCCAAATCCAAAACCCAGGTTTTGGCAATATATCTATTCTGGCTCAAAACTGGATTGTAGGGGAGAGCGGGATTGGTTGTCACACTTTTTACATCAGCTTTTGATTTTCATTAAATCAATGCCAAACTTCTCACAAAGGTAGTTTAAAAGCCAAACTTCTCACAAAGGTAGTTTAAAAGCCAAACTTCTCACAAAGGTAGTTTAAAAGCCAAACTTCTCACAAAGGTAGTTTAAAAGCCAAACTTCTCACAAAGGTAGTTTAAAAGCCAAACTTCTCACAAAGGTAGTTTAAAAGCCAAACTTCTCACAAAGGTAGTTTAAAAGCCAAACTTCTCACAAAGGTAGTTTAAAAGCCAAACTTCTCACAAAGGTAGTTTAAAAGCCAAACTTCTCACAAAGGTAGTTTAAAAGCCAAACTTCTCACAAAGGTAGTTTAAAAGCCAAACTTCTCACAAAGGTAGTTTTAAAGCCAAACTTCTCACAAAGGTAGTTTAAAAGCCAAACTTCTCACAAAGGTAGTTTAAAAGCCAAACTTCTCACAAAGGTAGTTTAAAAGCCAAACTTCTCACAAAGGTAGTTTAAAAGCCAAACTTCTCACAAAGGTAGTTTAAAAGCCAAACTTCTCACAAAGGTAGTTTAAAAGCCAAACTTCTCACAAAGGTAGTTTAAAAGCCAAACTTCTCACAAAGGTAGTTTAAAAGCCAAACTTCTCACAAAGGTAGTTTAAAAGCCAAACTTCTCACAAAGGTAGTTTAAAAGCCAAACTTCTCACAAAGGTAGTTTAAAAGCCAAACTTCTCACAAAGGTAGTTTAAATGCCAAACTTCTCACAAAGGTAGTTTAACTATTTCCTGTACCTATTATAATATTTAAAAGACATTGAGAGAAGTATTTTTTGCTGTAAAATCGTTTATCAAAGACCACTTCTGTGTGATAACCAACCCCGCCAACGGAGTTGGTTGTCACATAGTGCGGGGTTGGTTGTCACATTCCTTTGTATGTTTAGATTATAACCAGCTTAAGTAAAACAAGTGCAATTTAATTTTGTTTATATAACTCTAAGAATAATCTGAAAAAAAAAAAAAAAAAAAATCCTGTATACTGAAAAAAAAAAAACACAATATGCTAAAAAAGTTTTTTTGTAAAATGACACTATAAACACATTTAATGTAGCGCTATAAGTGTATTTAAAATAGTGTTTTTATAAATTTTTGGATGAAGAACACAATTCAAAATTAAACTGTTGTAAGCCTGGTACGCACTCTTCATGAGCCCATTTTTGGCAAACCTGACATTGAATCCACTGTTCTCTTGATCTGCTATTAGCAAATGATTCAAAACAATAGATGCATAGATACTCTTCATCTTCAGATAAATATAAGCCTGAAGAAGTTTTTTTTGTAGCAAGATTTGACTTTATCATTTCTTTTTTACTTTCATTCATTAATGGTTTATGATTCTTCTTATTTTTTTTCTTCGTTTTTGTCTTTTTATGACTAGCTAACCATGCTTTGACAGGCGAGTTAGTAAAAATCATAGTTAAACGCTTTTTCCTACCTCTTTTTGATGTCAACCTTGGTGGTATAATAGAATTTTCAGAAACTAATGGAGTGATAGGGTCCTGATTTAAGGTTTTATTTGATATACCTGGAGCTTCTCTTGTTATGTCTACCTGATTATATAGTATATGTATAGATTCTTTAAATCTATACATATACTATATAATCCTATAAAATACTATAAAAGGAGATACAGCCTTTGGAGGTGCAATATTTACTATTTTTGGAATATCATATATTGTAACAGTTTTTCCAGGATTCATTACCAAACATGGAGTCATAGCAGTATTTACATAGTTTTTAAGGGGACCGTAAACTGCCTTATCCAAAGGCTGTAATTTGTGTGTGCAATGTGGTGGAAAGGTAAGCATTACTATTCCGTTATTTTTTGTCAAATCAAATCCAAGAGTACTAAGATGAGTTTTATGATTGTAAAGCAACAATAAACTTTTCTTTAGTGCACTTTGTAGAGCCTATAATATGTTGTATCCTGCACTTCCTGTTATTGCTCCTATAAGGAAATGATCTTTAATGTTTTTACGAGGAAAAACAAAAAAAGATGGAATGCTATTTCCAATAGCATTTATTGTGCATGCTGATGTTACAAGAGTTCCTCATTCAGCTGACGTGATGGCACCTACTTGTTTTAATCCTTTTTTTGGCAATAACCTTTCTCTGTACAGTAGTTGCAGCAGTTTCATCCATGTTCCAAATGTCATTTGGTGAGAACGAGTAGTTTTGCAAACAGTGCTGCAAAATGCTAAAAAAATGATGCAACATTCTGCTTATTGAAACTTGTCGCTCGACTTAAACTAGTAGCTTTAGGTTGTCTAATCAAAATATTTGAATGGCGCTTTATAAATCCTGTAAACCAATCCTTACCAGTTTGTTCCTTTAGAACCCAAGAATCAGGAACTTTTATATTATTTAAGTTGCAATCTGGAAAACAAGCTTTTTTACTTCAGTACGAGTTAAACCAAAATAAATTTCAGCTGCTCGCAACAGGTAGGTCACTAATTCTTTCTCTAGTTTTTCTCGCAATATCAGTCAATTTTTATATCCAATTTTTATATCACGTAGGTAGAGTTTTGATTTTTATTAATTAGATCTGTTATAGAATCATGTGATGGATTAGTAATAACAATTTTTTTACAATAACACGTTAATGTTCTGTAATTAATGCCATGGTTTTTTGCTGCTGATCTAATAAAAATGTTATTAATCTTTACATCTTCAACAGCACGCATAACGATATCTCCAGAAGTATAACCTCTATTAGTTTTTCTTTTAAAATTTCGTACCATGTGTTTTACTAAGCATGAAAAAATATTTTCAAATAATGTATACACAAAACATCTCAAAAGAATATACTCAAAAGTATACTCAAAAGAAAATCTGTTTTTCTAATTCTATAATTGTATTAAAAATTTATTTGAATCACAATTTGACGTTATAAAGATTGAAATTAAACAAACTTTGAATTTAAATTTTCAAATTAAAATCCTAAAAATTTAAATAATCTTCAATGAATTCAAATAAATAAACAAGGAATATTTATAAGCGGCGTATAGTTTACAGTACGCGGAATCGAGGCAATTGTGACAACCAACCCCATATATTTTGTGACAACCACTTCGAGGCAATTGTGACAATTGACAAAAAACGTGTGTGAAAAAAATGTGACAAAAAACGAGGCAATTGTGACAACCCCTTCTATGTAAGTAGCAAGACACCTGTAAATTTACCTAAAAACGTGCAATTTTCATGAGAATTTTTTGTGGATTAAGTTACTCAAATCAATAAAAAAATTAAAAGATAAACATTCAAAACACAATAAAATACATTTTGAATTGTAAAAGAAAATTTCTACTTTTTCAAGCCAAAAACCTATAAAAACGAATAACTTTTCTCATCTACACACTAGAAAAAGTTAAAAACTACTGTGAAAATGTTTTTTTTTATATAACATTTCCAATGTATGATTTTAAAGTTCTAAATGTTATCTACATTTTCTGTAATAAACTTTGTGACAACCAACCCGCGTGACAACCAACCCCGCTCTCCCCTATCATTTGACAATATCAATGTTTTTTAATTTGGATCCTGAATTTGATATAAATCGGTTATTTCAGCAAGCAGAAAGTCACTTACCATTGATTTTGTACCAAATAATCTAAGCGTGAACCACATCCAAAGAATTAAATTATTAAAAAATAATAGCCTTATTGAGTAAAAGATTTTTCAAACAAGTGATTGATATTAGTAGCAGATGAAACTTACTGCTATTGTCAAAAGAGTAGCAATAACGATTCTCAGTGTAAACATACAGTGTCCAAAAAAAGAAACAATTAGTAAACCCAATTGTGATATGTTCTTCTAACGGATTTATCATAGATGTCTATGGCCTTTTCGAAGTAACAAAAAATTACGCTACTTTATTAAATGAGATTCTAATCAAGGACTAATGCTTATGTTCGTTGATTCAACCAAACGATGTCATTATATTGGATCACGGATTCCATCATTGTATTGAAGAACTTGAAAAATCTTATAAACTTGTTCAAAAAACGCCAGCTTGTCTTAGAAAAGACCAGAAACAGTTAACAACTTTGAAAGCGGATCAATCACGTTTTGTTACAAAGACTCGATAGGTTATCGAAGTAAGTGAAATTTTTTAAGAAATCTTTTCGAGCCTTGGATAAGGTACGCAACATAAGCCTCGTTCATACGCTAGATGATTACCGGATTGCCACCACGTTGGTTAATAAATATTTTGGAAGATTACTCTCCGATAATGACAACAAAGTAGAAATCGTTAGAATTATGAAAGAGAATCTTAACAAAGAGAATTTACTTGAAACATTAATTAAAGAAAAAAAGCTTCACCGTAAAAGTGCCTACACTAAATTGGAATCCCAAGATATTAAAGATTTTCCGGTACTTGATCAAAGCACAATACAAACTAATATAACTATGGGTTCCTATCAGCTCAGACAAAGTTTGAGTTATATATCGGAACATCTTAACAAAGGAAAATGCGAGTTAAGACTTAATGGAAAAATCGGTTCAACCCAACGTTCTAAAATAATTAACATAGATGTCTGGTCTAGGCACAGTAAAATGATTAAATACATGGTATACATTAAGTAATTACCCAACATTAATGATAAATTCGGCATCAATTCTTGGTATTGCACCTGTCAAACAGGAATGCGTACTGTCGATTTCTGTAGTCACATTACAAGTGTTATTTTATTTCTTTCAATCGTCGAAAAAAAAAATCAAAAAATTCAAAAGTCAAGCTAGTTCGATGTTGTCTATTTTTCCAAAATTGGTTGTATGGTTACATATGACAATGATGAACAAGTCTGCAAAAAGAAAACTAAAAATAAAAAAAATTGCAAAAGGTTACAAAGTAAAGCTTGGTTGAGTGAATCAGAAATAGATAAAGTTCAAAACTCTGACAAGAATACTTTTCCAAATGATTCCTTACAGATACTGTCATCACCAAAGAAATTCAAAACTTTTCAATCACTTTATAAAAAAAAACCTAGAATGGTTTTTCTCAAAAGTGCCTAAATGGGGATCTAAACGTACAATAAAGTCTAGTTCAACAACTCTCGTTATTAATAACATTTGTACAATAGATAATTTTTTTTTATGTCTTTGGACATCAGTTCAACTTGCACCAAACTTGATAAATATTTTGCAAAGTAGTCCTTTAAAAAAATCTTTATATGACTACACGTGTTACATAATTAACACGTATTGTTGTTTTAATCTGTTGTACTCTTTAATGTAAGCATATATTGACGAAAACGCATAAATTATGATCATAAAAAGAGATGACTTTCAGTCACCTCTTTTACGACACTTTTGCCCACAGAGATCTTAATATATCTTTTTTTAATAATAACCAGCGTCTCTTAATTGTTAAGAAACTATTTAGAAATTTCAGGATCTCGCTTGGCAAAAGGGAGGCCGAAGAGGATGTCTCATTACATCATGGTTTTTAATTTGTAAAATTAATAGCAAAGTATTTACTAGCGAAGTAAATCAGAAACTAAGAGAGGCAACACAATAAACACATTACTTATTGTAATAGAGCGACAGGATCTGAAAAGAGCTCCAAGATCTGGAAATTTTTTTACAGAAAAATGTTTCTTTTCAGTTAGGAGAATATTGCAAGAGAAAAAAGTACAAGTAGTCTTCCATCCTGATTGATAGGTGCAGCTATGGCATAATCAGAGTTATTTTAACTTCTAACGAAATATTTTTATTAATAGATTTTAGAGATTTAGAACTCTTTCATTTCATTAAAAACTTCTTAAGCAGACAGAGGAAAGCTATAAGTTATTTTTCAGATATACCACATACAGGCAAGTTATCTAAATATATAAACTATTTTTTAGATCTAAGTTTTTAAACGAATTTTAATCAGCACTTTTTTATCATAATCAATTATATAAAAAAACGGGGCGGACGGGATATTTAAAAATATAAAAATCTATTATCTGCCTATTTAATCTCTTAATTAAAATTCCTATTATTAGTCTATTTAATCTATTTAAATGAAGACTTTCAGCAAAATTATCAAGCTTTTTTGTTAAAAGTCTTTATTTGCGTCATAAACTGACACACCACGTAAGGCGCAAACTTTTTCTGATAACCAATGCAGATAAATCATTAAAGAAAATACCTAATCTAACTGTGTCATTTAAATTGTTTAAAGAATTCTACCTGAGCGCACGCATGTTCATTGTTTAGCAAACGATCCGATTGCACAGAAGCTCGTAGATTTTTTGTCACCGTTGAGTTTTTACATATAATATTTTGGTAAAACAATATATATATATATATATATATATATATATATATATATATATATATATATATATATATATATATATATATATATACATATATATATACATATATATATACATATATATATATATATATATATATATTTATATATATATATATATATATATATATGTATATATATATATATATATATATATATATATATATATATATATATATATATATATATATATATAAATATATATATATTTTATATATATACTTATTCACTTATCTAATTTTCTTCAACAATTTATTTTGCCATTAATAAGCTTATCAGAAAGAATGTCTAAACATCAAAAAAAAATTTAAGTTATAGAAAAAATATTTCTTTGGGAATTGGTTTAATTATTTATGTAATAACTGCAGTTATTTTGCAACCAGGAAATTGCATTAACTACATTAAAATTAAATAATTAATCATGAAAAAATTTTTTAGAATTAGGATAATTTTAGCTTGGTCATTTGTTTTTATAATTTTTTAAAAGGTATTCATTTTTATGTCTGTATTTAGAAATTAATTCAGATTTTTTGTTTAGTAAATTTTTTTATCCAAATGTGTAATAGTTTCAAATTTTTCTTGTAAACATAGAATACATTTTTTAGAAATGTTATTACAGGCAGGCGTAGATTTAGGAATAGACCAAAATAATTTAAAATTAATATTTTTTTTTTTTAGTTACCAAATATATTTTGACAGCATACTTTTGAGTATTTTTTATGCTTATTGTTATTCAGGAATGTTTTGTGTGGAAACAATGCAATTGTAAATAAAATTTTTTGATATGCATTTGCCATTCATAGGGCGGTTAATTTTTTGTTTGCAGATACAATTTTCAGTATTTTTTTACTTTTAGAGATTCATTTTTATTAATAAATGCAAAATTATGGCCTTTTATAATTCTTTCAACATTTTTTATACAGCTATAGCTTACTTTAATAGAGTTTCTGTTGAAAATTTTGTGCAATTTATTAGAAGGAGAAAAATGTTATTAATTCAATTAATTTTCAAAACGTTTTCCCAATATTTGTTGAAATATTTTTGCTGTAAAGAAGATTGAACCAAATTATATTTTGCTTTTTTGCAACTTTTGTTTTAAATTTTAGCTCGAAATTTTTAAATCCGCTTTTTTTGAGAGCATCTTCATACACGCGTTTGGAAGAGTTAAAAATATCTTCATTAGAAGAGTTTTAATTTAGTCTATTATTAATTGAAATAGGAATTTGTTTTAAGATTTGAAAAGGATGGTTTGAATTTATACTAATATACGATAATTCATCAATCGATTTTTTATAAGGCATCTAAGAATTTTCCGAGAGTTTAAATGTGACATTGAGAAAATTTACAATTTTTAAATTAATGTTTTATTTCAACTTGGAAGCCAATGTTTTGAAAAATTTTTATAATTATTTTTCTGACTTTGTCAAGTTGAGGCCCTAATTTTTTTTGTGTATTATTATTAAAGCATCATCGCGATACCTAATTGATTAGAAGGAACTATTTTAGCAAGGGAATTTAAAATTTAATTAAACCAATTTCCAATTTCCTGTAAAATATATTTTCTATAACATGAACTTTTTTTTTGTTTAGATATTCTTCCTGACGAGCCTAATGATGGTAAAACAAATTGTTGAAAAAAATTAGATTTTTGTGGGGAGAATTGTGCATATATATATATATATATATATATATATATATATATATATATATATATATATATATATATATATATATATATATATATATATATATATATATATATATATATATATATATATATATATATATATATATATTTGTATATATATATATATATATATATTTGTATATGTATATATAAAATATATATATACATATACAAATATATATATATATATATATATATATATATATATATATATATATATATATATATATATATATATATATATATATATATATATATATAATTTATATTTCTAACTAACAACGATTTTGGCTAATAACAATTAACTTTAATTTGGCTACATCATGCATTTGTAAAGCAGCTAAATGGTGGTTACTTTGACCTAAACCTAATAAACATGTTTACACACCTACACACACACAAACATAAAATTTTAAAATATATCTAATTTTCTTTTAGTTTACGATCAAAATAAAAAATGCCTAACAATAATGTACTTCTTTGGGGATTTGGCCATATAAACAAACTCGTTTTACGCTACTTAATCGAAAAGAATTACAACGTAGTTGGTGTTATAGGTCATCATTACATTAATGCAAACGCGTTTAAAATAGCTTCTTTAGAAGATCATCCATCTTGTCAGCAGAAAATTATCAACATTACTCATTCCAGAGATGCTGAGAAACTATTAGAAACTCTTAATTCGGACCTGAAATTAAAGCCAAACGTGTGTATTCTAGCCACACGTTGCACTGTCTCAGATATCTATCTTACAGTCAAAATTCTCGGAGAATATGGGATTAACACAATAACAATTGCAGAGGAGCCTTTTTATTCGTGGAAAACAGCACCCGCACTTACAAAAGAAATTAATTCGTTGTTTAAAAAAAATAACGTATGCTTTACAGCCACAGGTGTGCAAGATGTTTTTTGGGGCTTTTTACCTTTATCTATTGCTGGTTCTTCTCATAAGATTGTAAAAATTGTGGGAAACGTGCAATATAATGTTGATGACTATGGGGCTGCTTTGTGCGAAGCCCATGGTGTTGGATTAAGCATTAAAGCTTTTGAGGAAAGTATTGGTAATCGTGAAGCCCCTAGTTATATATGGAATTCTAATGAATGGTTGGCAACTAAACTTGGTAAAAACATTAAAAAAACAACCCAAAAAATTTCGCCAATTACAGTGGAAGAGCCTATTTTTTCTAAAACATTAAATGGAGAAATCAACTCTGGAATTGTAACGGGCATGAAAGCGTTTGTGATTACGGAGTGCGACGACGGACTCACTATTGAAACCTCAATGGTTGGCACTGTTTATCACGGGAGTATGATAGACTATTGCTCTTGGGATATTTTTGGCGAACCAAATACTAGTGTTGTGGTTAATCGACCGTCAACAGTAGAAATTACGTGCGCCACGGCTGTTAACAGAATTCAACAGGTGATCAATTCGGTTAATAAAGGCTATGTTCCTACTTTTGAATTCGGTCTTATTCAATAATATATATATATATATATATATATATATATATATATATATATATATATATATATATATATATATATATATATGTATATATATATATATATATATTTATATATATATATATATATATATATATATATATATATATATATATATATATATACATAAATAAATATATATATATATATATATATATATATATATATATATATATATATATATATATATATATATTAATATAACAACATTAAATTTTGTTTATTGTTTATAAATTTTTTTTAAACAAAACATTTACTTTTGTTTAATCCCTACGTTAAAAATATTGCAAACATGAGTTATGGTTAAAGGGTTGCTTTTTGTTCATAAGATGATTGCACAGTTTAAAAAAAAACTTTTTCTCAAATGGTTTACTAAGGTTAATAGGTAATGGTTATAAAAATATTTTGAAATTGTATAAATACCCGAATCGTATTGTATGTTTTTTTATGTGCGTAAACCAATTATTCATGTATTTTGCCTTAAAATAAAAAAATTGCAACTCGAAAGACTATTATTGGCCGGACATTCGTTTATGTTATCGCTGAACTTAGTATTGGCTTCCTAATATTAATCAATTCTTTTAAAAAGAAGAGATTTGATTAAACGGTTTTTAACAAATCCACAAAAAACACTCAGATATTTTTTTTTTAGTTACATTATAATTAAGCATTTCATTACAACATTTAAAATACAAACATATAAAAATAAAAGATATATATATATATATATATATATATATATATATATATATATATATATATATATATATATATATATATATATATATATATATATATATAATAAAAAAAAAGATGGAAAAAAATGCTGGAATTTAATGAATATAGCAAAACAAGCAAACGGGGTAATAGTTTTTATTTGAACAGAAATAGAAACTATTACCCCGTTTTCATATTGACGATAAAACACGCTTTGTTATAAAAAGTATTATATTTTTTTTGTAAAAAGCTGTACCAAACAACAATAAAACATTGCTGCGTGGTTCTTTTTTCAACAATAAATTATTGCTGTGTGGTTCTTTTGTCAACATAAAAAGCTTGTGTTAACATAAAACAATTTCATAGTATTATTTTATAGTTGTTTTATACATTTTATAAGTTACAAATTATAACATTAAAAACATAAAACACGTTTAACAAAAAACATATGTTATCTCCAGTATGAACATAGCACTAGACTAATCTACTATGACTAATATACGTATGCACTAGACTACAACTTATATCTAATATACCTATATGCATACAATTAGTTATCGTAGAAAATTCGAAAAAACAAATTTTATCCCAAAAAATTAAAAGTAAATCATAAATCATTGGGGAAAGTGGAGAGTGATAGGACATTAAAAAAAAAATACTTTTAGAATAATTTTAAAATCGTTTTTACATATTGTATGAACTGAACCAAATAAATTTTAACAAATAAAGCATTACATTGGGAAATAATTCCAAATGTTTCCATAATATACTTAAAAGTGACGAGGAGAGATGTAGAGTATCAATTAATTATGTTTGTCTTACTTCATCACTCAAAAAAAACTTTTTGGGGTTACTTTTTTAAAATGTGGTTTTTACTACACGCAGAGCAGACAAAACGATATTTGCTAATAAAACGGATGAATTCTCATTGTTTACATTAGGTAATAGTGATTAGATGACCTCGTCTAATCGGAACTTGTGGGCTGTCCTACTTCACCCAACTCTCCCATACACATTTAAGAGCCATTATCTGAGAAATTAGGCCACAGTTAAATTTTTTTTCGAAAACTCCCATTTTTTGCGGAGATATCGGGGGCCGAAATTTAGCCCATTTTGTAAAAATATTGGTGCATGAAATGGAATTACTACTTTTACGGACAATTTTAGCAAAATGAACTTGAGAAACACATTTCTTTTTCTTTTTTCTATTACTCTAGCTGGATTTCTCTGCTTAAAAAAAAAATTCAAAATGTTTACACTTTTTGTTGTCTAGAAATCACGGTTCAAAACCGCTAAATTTGAAATTTTACCTGTACTTTGACCATTTATATCTTCTAAGGCCGTTACTTGCACATAATTTACTTAACTGTTTTTGAAAGCCAATAAGGTATACATTGAATTTATAAAAAAAAAATTATGAGTATGCAAGAGCCTGAGAAAGAGTAAGCTTCCAAAAATGAAATTTCGCGGTTAATACGCTTTGTTAGATTACAAATAACGTGGCCTTAGGTCTGCCATGAAATGTATAAGTTATTTCGTTTCCTTATACATGCATCTTCCAATATCTGAAAAAAAATTCATGTGCTTAAGCGATAAAAAGCCTAGAGAAGTCCTAGAAATAGTCTAATTTTGCCACATTCTTAACCAACAAAATACCCTAGCAACGACATAGATATGCTTAGCAACGGCTTCTATAATTCGTTAATAATTAGTACTCTAATTAAAAATAAATAAAAAATACATTTTTATAACAAAAAACTGTATAAACTGTACAAAAGTGCTTGATAAAAATTATTTTTTAAGCTTTTTTAATGTAACAAAATGCGCAACAATAGGTTCAAAGAATGCGATGGCAAAAGTGTAATAACCAAAGTAAGGAAGTGACATTAAAGATTCCCTTTGGGCAGTCATTTCTAATACTTTCTTTAGACAATTATTAATGATTGCAAGATTATTTCCTTGGAGACACATTCTTCTCGAAGAATTAGCACATGAATTTAATAAATAGCCATAGCATGAGATGAGAAACTACGAAATAAAGTTTTTTTATTTTGTTATCTTTTGTTTATTCAATAAAAAAAAATAAAATAAAAAATAAAAGTTAAATACAAAATGTCAGAGAGCAACAATATAGTCAGTCTCTATGAAAAATGCGTGTATTTTGATAAAGGACAGACTTCTTGTGGCCCTTTTAAGCGTTGGAAACAACATGGGATCTTTCAAATTAATGAATTAACTGCTGACATAAGTAATCATTTACAAGTACTAAAGGTATAATTTATCAATTAATATATATATTTTTAATTATAAGCAACAATACCTCCAACAAATAGATGACAAATTTAACATTACTATTTTATAGTTACCGCAGACAAACCAGTATAATGAAAAAACTCTAATTGAAAGTCGATTACAAACTTATCTTTCATGCGACAACTGGTTATGTGCATACCACCGTTTTTCTTTTGGTATTGGATGGAAGCCGCCAAACAGATGTCAATACCCAAGTCATATATTTCAAGTTGGTAAAAAGGCATCAAAAATTAGATCCATACCTTTGAATACCCTTGCTACTTATAATAAAAGTAATTCATCGCTACCTATTGGAGCCGTATTTTGCTTCAAGCACCTAAAAACTATTTCTATAGATATTATTATTGACATGATAGAAACAATTCCAACAGTAAAGTCTAGTTCTTATGTTGATAAAGTTTATGTTCCAGATTTAGCAATCATTTCAGATAAGACCATCGAAGAATCAAAATTAAAAGCTAGTTCTTTGTGTGAAGCACTAGGAGCAAGTCCACTGTCTTTTCACATAACGCAAAAGCGAATAGAAGACTTAACACAAGGAACTAAACAGAAAGTTAAAAAAAAATTTGAGAAATGTAAAGTGCAGCTCGAGAAGATATTTGCTAAAGCAATTGCACCTGGTCAATCAGAAGCACTTATAACCCAAGTATTAAACAGTGAAGATGAAAATGTTGCAACTGAAATGGTTCCAGAAGACCTAATTGTACAAATTAAGATGTTCCAAGAAAGCGATTCTTTAGGAAAAATTCTTTTGCTTTCAGTTGTTAATCATAATAAGTACACTAAAGAGACATTAATGAAAGTCTTTGATTGCAAAAAACATCAAATAGAAAAAGGACGCAAGTTGCAGAAAGAAAACATTGGACTTTCCATACCAAAAGAAGGGTAAGGTAAAAATATGCCGAATGCCTCAAGAAAAAATTGAACATTTTTTGGAATTTTTTTTTTCTCGAGGTCTGCTTCAAGATGTAGCATATGGTATAAATAAAATAAAGTTTGACAACGGAGAGAAACAAAAAGTGGCTAATGCCATTTTGATGATGAAGTTTAGCCATACAATCACATTTTATAAAGAAATTTGCTTAGAAACTAATTATGTCCCTATGTCAGATAGTTCTTTATGGAGAATTCTTTGTGGAATAAAACCTTCTCAAAGGAAATCTTTAGCTGGTCTTGATGATGTTACAGCAGCTGGCATGAACGGTTTCCAAACATTAATTGCCATTTCTGAGAAGTGGAAATATAAAAATGTTACTAAGTTTCTTGAAAAAGGTAAAAGGTATCTGAAAAGTAATTATCCTTCCAAATGTAGTGAAAATTCAACTTTGCATAGTCACTCAACTTCATTTGCCCTTTCGGATAAAGATCCGGACTTAAACCAATCAAACATAACCGCTGACGATGAACAATGCATTGACTGTACTGACCTCATTTCAGTAATCAATCAGGTTCGTGAGTTGGTTATACAAAGTGAAGATGAAGATCTACTATATGATTTAAATGTGCTACAGAAGATGTTGAAGCCTATATGAAACATCAAATTCGTGATGCGCAGCAAAAAATGGCCAAAATAATGGCTTTTGAGCAACTTGATGAGGAAACAGGATTTTGGCTAAAGGATTTTTGTCAAAAAATATTGCCCACTAAATTCCGTGAAGGCCAAAAAGAATATTTTGGGAAAAAAGGAATGACTCTACATGTTGATGTCTTCTTCTTCTATGAAAATGGTCGAATGAAAAAAAAAGTGTATTTTACTGCTGTATATAGATGTGAGCAAAGCCTTGTTGATGTACTCTGTCTCGCTGATGTTGTTTTGGCCAAAGTTAAAAATGATTTTCCTTATTTAAAGAATCTTTATGCTAAGTCAGATAATGCATCAATTTTTCCTTAAAAGGTATGATTACAACGAGCCTTCGCGTGGAAAAGATCAATGTGATAGAGAGTCAGAAGGAGCGAAATGTGTCATTAGGAGTTTTGTTGACGCAGGAAACAATTTATTGACTGCAGAAGATCTTTATGAGGCTCTTCATAATGGTAAAGGAATTCAAAACGCTGATGTTGCTGTAGTTATAATAAATTCTAAAGCCTCTATTTTATCAGGATCAAATCTGATTCCCAACTGATAAGCAGTTATCATTCTTTTCAGTTTTTCCCTGATCACATGATAATGTGGAGATACTTCCGAATTGGTCAAGGTAAAAAATGGAACTATACAAATGTGACATTCCATACTTCAGTTGAAATTGTTAAGCCCTTTAGTCCGACTTGCAAAATTTATACTGCCCCAGCAATTTCCAAAAAACCACGTGTTGATAGAAGAGTTAACACTTTAAAGTTTTGTACACAATTTGGTTGCACTGATTCATTTTTTGACAATGAATCATTAGAATAACACTTGTTATCAGAAAACCACAATTTTCAATCTGTGAAGAAACCAATGGTAGACAGAGCAAAACTATCTTATATCAACAAAATGAAAATTTCAAACCTAAATTCTTTTGATTATCTGCCGTCATCCCAATCTGTCATTAAAGGGATTGAAAACTTCACAGACATCACTAGGTGGTCATTACCAAAAAGAAAAGTGTTCAGATATTCTTCAAAGCAGAGAACATTGTTAATGCAGATGTTTATGTCTGGAGAAGAACAAGGGAAAAAAATGAGCCCAGAGCAGGTTCACTAGCAGCTGAGGACAAAGTTAAAGCCAAGTGAATATGTGACAACTCAACAAATTCGATCATTATTCTCTAGGCGAGTAAATTTACTTCTATATTTACTGATACCCAAAGTATGAATGATATAAAATTTAATTTTATCCTTTTCTTGAGTTTTAAGATAAATATTTTGAATTTACCTTCATGCTTCAAGTACATTTTTTTAGATGGAGTAAACAAAAAAGAGAAGGAAAGCTAGTTACCATTTTTTGTGAAGATGCTAATCTAACTGATGACATGATTGATCTGACTGATGATGCGAGACATACAAGTCAAAATAAAGATGATGATTTAAACAACGATATTCAGCTCATAGCAAAGGAGTTAGCAGCTGATTTTCAAATTGGTGATTGGGTTGCTATTGAATATAATATGCAGTGGTATCCTGCAATAATTCAAAGTGTAAGACGTTAAAACATCAAAATATTTAATTTTTGAGTATTAGATCTTTTTTATTAAGTTATATAATTATTAATTTATTAACCACAACATTTAAATGTAAGAAATATTCAGAAAGCACCAATGATTAGACGTTGTTTTACTTTTAACTTAACCCTGTAGGTCAATCGTGACAATGTTCATGTTTCTTGTATGGAATATTCGACTATAACTGGAAAAAACTGTTTCAAGTGGCCAACCAAAGAAAATATTCTCCAATATTTATATCTTGACGTTATTTGTAGGATTGATGCACCAACACCAACTAATCAAAGAGGGGACTATTCTCTCTCAATAGACGATATGTATAACATAGAAATTCAGATTGACAGATAAACTTCTTTAAAACTTTATTTGGTTTGCTTTCTTAAACAAGTTGTATTTGAAAAAACGTTTATCCGAAATTTACATAATTGTTTTAACAATGATATAAACACTTCAAAGTGTGTGATGTTTGGATCTTTTTCTCATTAAAGAAGCTTAGAAAATAACTTTTATCAAGCGCTTTTATACAGTTTTTTGTTATAAAAATGTATTTTTTATTTATTTTTAATTAGAGTACTAATTATTAACGAATTATAGAAGCCGTTGCTAAGCATATCTATGTCGTTGCTAGGGTATTTTGTTGGTTAAGAATGTGGCAAAATTAGACTATTTCTAGGACTTCTCTAGGCTTTTTATCGCTTAAGCACATGAATTTTTTTTCAGATATTGGAAGATGCATGTATAAGGAAACGAAATAACTTATACATTTCATGGCAGACCTAAGGCCACGATTGTTATTTGTAATCTAACAAAGCGTATTAACCGCGAAATTTCATTTTTGGAAGCTTACTCTTTCCCAGGCTCTTGCATACTCATAATTTTTTTTCTATAAATTCAATGTATACCTTATTGGCTTTCAAAAGCAGTTAAGTAAATTATGTGCAAGTAATGGCCTTAGGAGATATAAATGGTCAAAGTACGGGTAAAATTTCAAATTTAGCGGTTTTGAACCGTGATTTCTAGACAATAAAAAATGTAAACATTTTGAATTTTTATTTTAACCAGAGAAATCCACTCAGAGTAGTAGAAATAAGAAAAATAAATGAGTTTCTCAAATTCATATTGCTAAAATTGCCCCTAAAAGTAGTAATTCCGTTCCATGCACCAATATTTTTACAAAATGGGCCAAATTTCGGCCCCCGATATCTCCGCAAATAATGGGAGTTTTCGAAAAAAAAATTAACTGTGGCCTAATTTTATTGTTTTCTATAAGATATCTGAAAATGAAGAGATTTTGAAGACATCACTTCCAGACTTTGCCGATTTTGCCTATATTTCTCAGATAATGGCTCTTAAATCAAGACTTTTTTATCTACGATGCAATTTTTAATCAAGTGTTAATAGCCTCGTAAAAAAATTAAAACTTTAATTTTTAAAATCAAATCAATTTAAGGTGAAAAGAATATAATGATAGCTTAACAATGATGTAGTGTAAATTGATTTAAAAAAAGTCTATTTCACAAAATATAAAACAAATTAAAAAAAAAAGTTAAATATTTTAGGAAAATATATAACAATATTTTAGAAAATATAAAACATTGTTAAAACTGCGAGAAATCACTGTTCTTTATGGTACACTTTTTAAAAATACTGCGATTAATCACTGTTCTTAATGGTACACTTTTTAAACATACTGCAAGAAATCACTGTTCTTAATGGTACACTTTTATCAAATAATCATTTACAATTTTATGCGTGTTCAAAAGTTGTATCAATAATGATTCAATACATGTGCATTTTACAATACGTGTATCCATAATGTACATTATTGGTTAGATATAATGTATATTATTGGTTATTATAGTAGAGATAATTATACAAAAATAAGCGATAATTTAAAATGATTGAGCGATAATTGATTTAATAAAAACTCAATTTATTGAATCAGTAAGTATAAAAAATAAACTTACACATAAAGTTACATTATTAAAATTATCCTTGATAAACCTGAGTTAAAGATATTTCCAAAGAACTGACATATATACAGTGCTTTCCAGACAAAACAAAAATTTATTTTAGGTATAGAATAAAACATGGTTGTGATAGTATAGGCATCTGGGCCTGCATAAACTATGAAGGTGTCGGTTGTTTCAAAGTATTTGATGGAAGGCTCGATTCTCAAAGATATTTAGACATATTGGATAACTATTTAATGCCTTCTATTGACATTTTCCCAAAAGAGAAGGGTATTTTCCAACAAGTTAATGCTTCCTACTGCTATAACTTGCATGCATTAGTTTGAAGAAAACAACATTAAAGTCATGTCTTGGCTTGTCGATTGTCCAGATCTCAATTACCTAGAGTATTGGTGGTCTGGATTAAATCACAATTTTGGTAAAATTTAAATAAAAGATCTGGATCAACTGAAAGAGTTAGTAACAAAATTACTGAATAGTGTTCCAAAAGAATTTACTCAGACTTTAGTGAACCTTATGCTAAAACATATCAGTGAATGCTTAAAAGCAAAAGGATTGTCAACAAAATATCAATTCTACTTTTTTTGTGTTTTGTAAGTATTTTTTATTTAAGGTTTGTTAATTTTGCTTTTGTGGTTTGTTAATTTTGACCGATAAAAATGAACACTTATTTAATTTCAAAATGTTATTTTTTAATTTTTTTAATTTTTATTTTTTTATAACAAATTTGTAATGTGGTTGTTTGATTTATTTCAATAATAAAAAACTTAGGACAAAATCAATTTAGTTTATAAAGTATTTGATTTCAAACTTATATTCATACTAAAATAACTTGATAGATTGTTATTAATGGCTAATACTGTATACCTAAACTAGTATTTAAAATTATTCTAAAGAGCTATTTGGCAAGCAACACATCTATTTTACAAACAGTACGCATTTTTTTGCAAGCAGCACATCTTTTTTGCATCGATTTAGCAAGAATGGTGCAAACTTAGTTGGATCTCTTCCCTATATGGTATCTTGTTTTTGCTTTAGGCTATATATGGATCTTATTTGTACTTTGACTAATTCTTTTTCCATACAAACCCAAATAGATTCAATAGGTAATCAAGCTGATCAGGGCAATAAATCTACTTTGTTTTCTTTCATCTGTGTTTTACTGTACGAGCTGTGTTGTCAGGCTCCAATTCTTGTTTAAATTGCCACCATTCTTTTTAATGAACTACCATGTCCACTGATGGTACCATGTAGTTCTCTAGCATCTCTACCCAGTGGGCACACGACGTTATTTCGACGTTGATTTACAGTTGATTTTTAGTCGCGACGTCGCATAACCAAAAATCAACGTTGTTTCAACGTTGAAATTTCAACGTTGAAAAAAAAAATTTAAGTCACGCATGCGTATTTTGGTTCTCATATTGCAATTACGAACGGTCGAACTCGTAATATAGACGTTGAATTAACGTGGAATCAACGTCGATTTTATTTGATAGTTTTAAACAAATTTTTCATGAAAAATTATCAAATAAAAAAAACTATCAAATAAAATCGACGTTGATTCCACGTTAATTCAACGTCTATATTACGAGTTCGACCGTTCGTAATTGCAATATGAGAACCAAAATACGCATGCGTGACTTAAATTTTTTTTTTTAGCTTAACAAATAACAAGTAAAGACATAAAAAATTACTTATTAGCCCAATAAAAAACAAGTAAAGTCACACATGCTAATAAATTAGGCCATCTGTTGCCTTTTTATAAGGTTTTGAATTTGACAATTTAACAATAATACATGGCTTAACTTGTGATGCAGTTAGTTAGGTAAATATTAAATGGATATTTCTTTATGATCGTATTATTTCATGAGTGTGGATTGCAAGTAGAGAATACTTGATATATTATATAAATATAAAATATATATTATATATGTTTTTCTTATTTATATAATATATATATATATATATATATATATATATATATATATATATATATATATATATATATATATATATATAAATATATATATATATATATATATATATATATATATATATATATACATATATATATATATATATATATATATATATATATATATATATATATATATAATATATATATATATATATATATATATATATATATATATATATATATATATACATACAAGTATAAATATATATATATATATATATATAATATATGTATATAGTATAAATGTATATATACTTGTATATATATATATATATATATATATTATATATATATATATATTTATATAAATATATATATATATATACCTATATATACATATATATATATAGTATATATATTTATATTATGTATTATTATATATATGTATATATATATATATATATATATATATATATATATATATATATATATATATATATATATATATATATATATATATATATAATATGTATATACACACACAGATATATATATATATATATATATATATATATATATATATATACATATATATATACATATATATATAAATACATATATATATATATATATATATATATATATATATATATATATATATATATATATATACATATATATATATAAATATATAAATATATATATATATATAAATAAATATATATATATATGTATATATATATATATATATATATATATATATATATATATATATATATATATATATATATATATATATATATATATATATATATATATATATATATATATATATATATATATATATATATATATATATATATATATATATATATATATATATATATATATTGGGAATCTTAGGTTAATAAATAATTATTTATTAACCTAAGATGGCTTTTTACTAACTAATGGAAAGTTTTATTGTGTTGAAAATGGATGATGTTTTACAAAATAATGATTTATCAAGCTTTTTTACCAATCCATGTGATTTAAAGAGTTTGAATATTTTTTATATTAAAAAATTTTTATTAATTTTTTAAAGATTTTTCTTGTAAAGTAAAAAAGAATTTGTGCTTGCTCCTTTAGTCCATGTTATTGGTTGGTAGAAGGATCAACATAAAAATTTAGCAAATTTTAGCAACTGTATAATGTATCATAACGTACAGTTTAAAATTGTATTTTTCTGTTAGCTATTTTACATGAACAAATTTTTTATATATGAGTATTTTTTCTATTATATATTCTATTATACTTTTCCAGTTGAAAAAGTATAGTAGGGCAAGCAAAATGTTCATTCGAGCTGTTTGGATAAAAAACACAGAGAAATAAAGAGAGAAAATTCAATTGATAATTTTTTTTGCTGGCCATCATCATTAAATGTAATAAATTGTTTCAATGAAATGCATAAACCGCATCTAACTAATACAGATCTACGCTGCTCAAAATTAAATGTCATGGAAATAATGTAGTTTTTTTTTTTATATAAACCTTAAGTCATTTCTTTTTTTCTTTGTTTTTTTAATATGCTTTCATTCTGTATACGTTGTTTTCAGTGTTTAGATATATTTTTTATTATATATTCTTTATTATATAATATATTTAAAACATTTTTAAATTGAATGAATATTCTTAGATCATGAGTTATGTGATAAATTTGAATTTGCCACTACTAGTGATACTCAGATAGAATCAGATTCAGAAAACGATAACTATTTTAAGTATTATTAGTTTTATTTTGATATTAATTTTTATAGGAGCCACTACCAAGCTTATGCAAGAGAAAACATAATAACCAACAGAATAGTAAGCTAGTACCTACTCCTGTAACGCAAAAAAAGAAACAGAAAACAATTTTTATGCATACTCCACATACTGTAGCTCAAGGTATTAATTGTCTGTCTGCAAGTTGATTTAGGAAGAAAAGATTCTGAACATTTTTTTCTATGCTTCATTGATTTACACATTTTATTGGTTGCTAAATTAATACATTTTATTTAATTTATGAATAATGTTTTATTTTATAAATGTATGGTACTTGTGTTTCAACGCTTTTAGAAATTAATTAATGTTTGGTTCTTTTGTCTTTCTGATATATCTTTATTGTTAGAAAGAGATGTTAGTAAAAACTCTTTCCAGTAATTAAAGTAATATCATGACAAATAGTTCTGAAATTCTATGGATGAACTTGCTGTGCAGCAAGTTCATCCATAGAATTTCAGAACTATTTGTCATGATATTACTTTAATTACTGGAAAGAGTTTTTACTATT